CCCTCCTCCTAGAGCAGATGAATGTAATTTCGCTATTAGAACAATTACAAACTCGTCAGTTCAGAAAACCAGAAGTTACAATAGAGAAGGGAGAGCGAGAGAGTGGTAGAGTTCCTGGCTTAAACAACGATTTTTCAAGTTTTCAGTAACAGGCTTCGAATCCTCAGAAAGTGTAAGATCAATCTTAGGGGTTAAGAACTGAAACAGTACGTGCAGCAGAGGCCGGAAACCACCACTGTCTACTTGTTGCACATTAAGGATTTAGCTCGCGAAACAGACTGATGACCTACAATACTAGAATGGGGGCCACATGGTTGAGAAACGTGGTTATTTGAGTCACACTAAGTCTGTGTGCGCCCTTAAATACGGCGGTACATGTCTGTGTGGCATGCGTTGAACAGGAAGCCAGTTCACTGCAGTCACTGTATCCAATTTTATGGCTTATCGTTCGCCGGCTTCGGATGATCTACTAGTGATTTGAAGAAGAAGAAGAAGAAGAAGAAGAAGAAGAGGGATTATCGACAGGGTTTCTAGGTAAGAATGACGTTGATCATCCCTTGCGTACTCGATAGTTTAATTTATCCAGTTCTCCTTACTGCCATGACTATGGGAGTTGGTGCATTAGTTTTACCTGAAATCCTATAACTACCTCCCGGTAATCTTTATCAAAAGCCACAGGCGAACAGAGTCTTGCGTGCAAGTTTAGGAACCAGTAAAACTGCATAAGTACGGAATTCAAGCGGCCGAATATTACTGATATTGAACAGGCAGGGAAAAAACTCATGGCGCAAGTGGTTCTTGCAACACCTTAAATGTGGATCGAGCGCGAACTACGAATAAACAGCGAAGCCGAATTATTACAATGTTCTTGCTATCACAAGATGCTCAAGACCTGTGTACGGCCGCATGTTGCTCCCTAACTCAAAAACGCGGCAAGATACAGGTCTTGAGAGATGAGAGAGAGGGAGGGAGAGGGAGCGAGATTTACCGGTCAATTGTTTTCGTCGAGTACAATAACTATCGACGAAAACATGCATACGATAGTCGCATGATGGCACGATAAATCTCAGCAATCGTTGAAACAACATGAAACTTGAGTCAGCCTTATCGATCAAAAATCACGCATCACAGAGAATTCTCGATTTGCAGGGCAGTCTACACGTTGTGAGTCAACAGATAAGCATGCCTTGGACATATGTTGACTTCCGACAACCAGAATTAGCGACGGAACTAGGCACAATTTTCATTAAAAGGCCAAAAGCTGACACGCAGTGATTAGGAGAGACCGTTCGGCTTATTTACATATGTGCAGCAGTTGATGAAGTAAATGTTTTTCCAGCCACTCCTATATGTCCTCTGTCCCATACAACACCCGGCCAAATAGAACCCGGACGCATAAGCAAAGCCGTTCGCTAACCCCTAATACGAGACCCTAAGACAAAAACTGGGTCGATATCGCAGTCCTGAGAACGGGCCCAGCCCACCAGCGCATAAATCATGATGAGAATTTACTAAAAAGTCAAACCAAAAGCCAGTATTCGGGGATTAGAATTCTGGTTCGCAGCATGCCAATGGCTCGAGCAAAAACGTTCGGTACGAGCTGCTGGCAGTTGTTGTGTCCCTTTTCTGGTCTTTTTCAGTAACGCTGATGCCACTATGACTACCAAATGACAGATATTATACTGATTCTGGGTAGGTCTCTTCATTGTTTACATTTAAAGTCCGCTTGACAAATATTCGTTCCATGTGCAGCGAAGCCCTACAATGAAATGGCTGCTGGTATGAAGACAATAGGTCTACAGTACACGCTACAAAAGCAACAAGTGAACGGTCAAACTGAGGCTTACTGCTACTGATCCTGTGATTGGGCGAGACCCAATTCATGGATCGCGAGGACGAACATTATTGAGTGTTTTGCAAAGTTAAAGGCCTGACGAAGAATTGCCGAAAAACATGTTTTGCCTAATAAATTGACTTTTCAAGTTAACCATGGGAATATTTACCGAAGTTATATTGATGAGTTTGAGACATCGAGAACATTGTGCATTTTACTTGTTTGCCTAATGCATTACGGAAAGATATATTTTTTTCGCCAAATAATATGATAATAGGTAATTTTATCTGGCCAGATTCTTATAAAATTGAGCATAAATTACCGTTGCCTTATAGTTTGGCAATTTCCTATACAAATACCTGTCCTAGGACAATGTTGCGGATTAGTTGGTGATTAACTATGTTATAGCAGTACTCTAGAGTGGAAACTTTGAGTAAACCAAATGTCGTCCGCTCGACGTGTGGCAGGATGCAAACCAATACGTTATTTTATAAAAAAACAAAACAAAAGGCTCTTAGATTTGAAAAAGGTCTGATTTGTGTCGCATCCCATGCCTTAACTGTCCTTGTAAATACATAGGCGAAAATGAAGGCATGCTTGGATCGCGCATACATGAAAATGAGCTGATGGTACGATGAGGCGACGAATTATCACAAGTTGCAATGTAAACCTATAAAACAGGCCATGAATTCAACTTCAGGGGCCGTCAAGGTCGTCGCCCACGCCGGAAGGAAGACGAACCGGGAATTGATTTAAGCCTGGCTCACGGACGGGAATTCAATCAACCGATGTATCGAGTTGGTGCCGGCGTACGGACCCTTACACAGTCACGCCCAAACGTCCGTCACAGAAAATTGGCCCACATCCTCTTAAATTAGCCCCATTTCCTGAAGAACCTTGACATCACTGGCAGCTAATTAACGTATACCTCT